CGTGAGTGAGGAACAAATGTGGGCTTGAGGGAGCTGAGGAACTCTGCCGTCTCCGGGACACACCCAGGATGCAGCGGGCCCACAGGGCTGCCTGTCCTCACGCACGCCGCACGCTGAGAGCGCTTCCCTGAGAACAGCCTCCCCATCTTCTCCCTGTACGCCAGCCGGGAGCTGACCCATCGCAGAGGCCCCGCTGGTCACACTCTGTCCCCTTCAAACTCATGGCTTCTAACCTGCTCAACTAGAGAAACCAAACACCGAAATTCAGTGTGTAAGTAAAATAAAATAAGAACCCCTTGTAGGGGCTAAAGTACAAGACCCCTGGTGGACGCTTTATACACTGGCTGTCCCGTGGCCCTTTCTGTTTTCTTCTTGAACCCGAGGCCTAGCTAGCAGGGAAAGCACCACGTGCCCAGGGCTGACTTGTGCACATCGAAGGGTTTTGTCTTTTTCCGAATCAGCCCATTATATGTCAATACCAGCCCTTGGTATGATTAACAGGAACATATGACGGGAACACTGAGATGGATCGGTGTAACGGCCTGAAAAGAAACTGGAACTTTAACTCAGCCCGAGTGTTAAAGACTACAGAGAAAAGAAGAGGCTGAGCGTTCCTGCCACCTCAAAGGCTCCCAGTCCACGCAGCACAAAGAGGAGTTCAAAGGCGACGCAGGCTCCTGACTTCCACCTCCTAGTGTGGCTGAGGTCAGAGGTCACTGCTGCTGGAGCCACTGACCAATAAAAGAATGTTTGGAAACTCTACTCAAGAGATAAACTCGGGATCCATTTTCACCTTCCTCCTTGTCCACACAAACAGCTCTGGCTACGCAAGGAGCGAGCGCCTCCCCAGCCTTCCAGGACCCTAGAATGTGTGCTTTTTCCTGTGATGCAAGCAAGAGCTGGGGATACACAGTTCCGTGTGACTACAGAAAAATATTTAGTTGCAAACCTCTCTTTACCTTCCAGTGTAAGGAAGATGGTTGATGGAATGCCTCGTCTTTAAGGCCGACTTCAAGTGCTACCTCCCTAATAAATCCACCCTGACAACCGCAGCCCAGAACTTTCCCCCTTCCATTCCAGGTTCCTGAAATGCTTGGGAAAACTGACACCATCTTGTCAACTTGCTTTGCCTATACCCACACACCCCTGTGAGGACTATTAGCTCTCTGTGGGTGAGGATCACAGACTGTGGAATTATCCATTAATCTCTCCTTGAAAAAAAAAAAAAACAATTAGGGCTTCAATAAATTAATTAACTAGTTAATTAGCACAAAGGCCAATAAAAGGCCAGCTGATAAGCTGGCTTTACACTGTTAACTATCCTCTACTAATTTAAGGAAGTGTTTTCAATTTACCTCCCACAAAACCCATCAGCCCCCAGGGGCTGGTCTGTTGCCCTGTGTGCCAGCTCTGCTCTCAGGGACCAGAGACATGCCCGCTTTCCCTCCAGCCCTGGCCTCATTACAGCGCCGACTTGAAGCTCTAACCTGGTATTTTACTTTATGGCTGCTTCACTAGCACATCAACAGGGGAACGTGACTTCTTTTCCTGGTCGGGCAGGACGTCTTCCTTCCTTGATGCATTGGAACTCCCGCGTCCCTGAGTCCCCGGCAAGGACCACGACTCGTGTAGACATCCAGCCTACTGCGGTTTTCCGTCCATCAAGATCCTGCCCCAAGAAGTTCTAGCTCTAGTCCATCTAGGGAGAGTCAATCCTGCGTTAAGCACCATTTCTTCTTCCTCCCAGAGAACTGGCCTCCACAGAGGCGCTACGAGGACCAAGTCTGGGGGAAGCGCCGGAGTGACTCCCAGTACCCAGCATTTCTGGACAAGACAGAAAGGCTCAGAAGGAAAATGAGCCACTTAAAAGTGAATGGAGACCTCTGCTGGCTACAGCTGTCCACGCAGCACCGTAAGCCAGGGCAGCTTCCCATTGATCCCGTGGATAGCACCTGGGGCACTATGGCAACCAACTGCTGATACCCGCGGCTCCCCCGAGCCTGGCTTCCAGGGAGATCCCAACCTGACTGCCCGGAGAATCCACTACAGCATAAGAGCTTTGCAGAATCAGGTGAATGCCTTTAAGTCAGCTTACATCAACAGAAGGTAAATGAACCATCTCCCATCCTAGACAGATGAGACATATACTGTTGACAGAGGTTCTCAAAGCAATTCTGTCCCCGACTCCTACCCCAAGGGGGCTGCTGACAGCAGCTAGAGCTGTCCCAGCATGGAGGGCATGCTACTGGCATCTAGTAGTGGTTGAATCTCATTGCCCTTTATACCTACCTGGGAATTACTTCAATGGGGTCACCTCCCATCCAGCTGAGAACGGTCCAGTCCAGAAGTGTGGGACTGGAAGAAAAGAGGCCGTTTGGGGAAGAGAGAAGGCTCAGAGACTGGGGAGTAGGACTGACAGGCACAGCCATGGAGAGCCCCAGGCAGCCAGCAAGCTGCACAAGGAAAGAGGGCTGAGAGCAAGACCCCGCTCCTTCTGTGTGCCAGCGCCAGGGAGTGTAGGGTGCTCTCCCCAGGGCGGGGCACTGTCCTCCTCAGGGACGTTCAAGGGGAGAAGAAATGACCACTGTGAACTATCAGTGTTACCAAGGACAGTGGCGTTCTTGCTAGGGATGAGAGCATCAATAGGGTTTTAAACAGCTGTGCAGAACACAAGAGATTGAGCCAATCTCTTCATTTAATAAATGAGGAAACAGAAGTGGAGGCAGCACTGGTGATGTATCTTGGCCAAGCAGGTCATAGGAACAGAGCCAGGGCTCAAACATGAGTCTTTGGTCTCCAAGTATATCTCCTGGAACCCACATAACCTACAAGTACCTTGTTTTCAGTGACCTGCATTCATTCCATCTCAACTCTTCTATGCTTCTGAGCCGACCACTGGAAGCGACCAGCCATGCCTGTCTCAGACCTGAGGCTGCTGCCCGCCTGGTGCAGAACCACAGGGTCCTGAGATGCAGCAGGCTCTCTGCCCTGAAACGCTCTCCCAGCTTGAGGGCGGAGGAGGGAGAAGTACCTGGACAGAATTTGTTCATCTCTTCTCACCCCCCCCCTTTTTTTTTTAAAGATTTATTTATTTGTTTGAAAGGCAGGAGTTAAAGAGAGAAAGAGGGAGAGGCAGAGTCAGAGAGAGAGAAAGAGAGGGAGATCTTCCTTCTTTTCCTGATCAGGTACTCCCCTCTGCAATGGGTACGATGGCCAGGGCTGGGCTGGTCCGAAGCCAGGAGTTTCTCTGGGTCTGCCACATGGGTGCAGGGGCCCTAGCAGGGAGCTGGATTGGAAGGGAAGCAGCTGGGATTCGAAAGCCAGCCCCACCCCAGGTTTTTCTCAACCTTTCTAAACTAAAATCTAGTGCAAGATGGTATCTACTAGGGCCAGCATTGTGGCACAGAAGGTTAAGCCTCAGTCTGCAATGCCAACAACCCCTATGGACATTGGTCTGAATCCTGCTTGCTCCACTTCTAATCCGGTTCTCTGCTAATGTGCTTGGGAAAGCAGAGGAAGATGGCCTAAGTACTCGGGCCCCCGCACCCACACGGGAGACTCAGATGAAGCTCCTGGCTCCTGGCTTAGGCTTAGGAGCTCCTGGCTCCTGCCATTCTGGCCATTGGGGAGTGAACAGAGAGAGAGCCATCTCTCTCTCTCTCTCTCTCACCCCCCATTTCTGTAACTCTGCCTTTAAAATAAATAAAAGAATCTTAAAAAAAAAAAAAAAAGATGGTATTGATCTGAGCATGAGTCTTTTTTGCCATGGTAATAAGTAATTATATCGTAACTTACAGAGAAAACACCAACACTGTGACTCTAAAAAGCACTGTTCTTCCTCACAAAAAAAAATTTTTTTTTGACAGGCAGAGTTGGACAGTGAGAGAGAGAGAGAGAGACAGAGAGAAAGGTCTTCCTTCCATTGGTTCACCCCGCAAATGGCCGCTACAGCTGGCGCGCTGCACTGATCTGGAGTCAGGAGCCAGGTGCTTCCTCCTGGTCTCCCATGCGGGTGCAGGGCCCAAGCACTTGGGCCATCTTCCACTGCCCTCCCAGGCCACAGCAGAGAGCTGGACTGGGAGAGGAGCAACCGGGGCAGAACCAGCGCCCCAACCAGGTCTAGAACCCAGAGTACCGGCACTGCAGGTGGAGGATTAGCCAAGTGAGCCGCGGCGCCGGCCCTTCCTCACAAATTTTAACAGCCATAGTTTAGAATGAAAATCTAGAGAACTCTGCGCTGACTTTTTTGATTTACTAAAATTCAGATAAGCTCAGCAGTTAAGTAACAATGGGGAAGGCCAGAAACTTAATCAGAGGGCCACGATGTTTCACGGATGAGTCCACTGTGGCCCAGAAGGCACAGAGTTTGGAACCAGCAGAGGGTTGTTGAACCCTGACCATCTAAGAACCTACAGGCTTAATCAGAGTGACAAGGAACACAGTATCGAACAATACAGGGCAAGGACTGAACAGATCCACTAACTTGCAGTCTCTCCTACAACCTTACAATGATAACGGGAGGGGTGTTAAGAATTAAGGGAAAGATAAGAGTGCAGGAGGCGAGACAGCAGCCACACGGTGTGTACGCTGCAAAGCAGACGGAGGAATGGGAGCTGACGCCACAGGCCCCCGAGCTCTGTCCTGGATCCACGGGGAAAAGCCTGAGTCCATGGCAAAAGCCCAGGTGGGGGCAAAGGCAGAGCTCAAGGGAGGGCGGACTGACCCTCAGGTGCCGCCCCCTTCCCCAGCCAGCTCACTCCCCACTCTCAGCCACAGCCTTTTATTTCCTTTATTTTATTTTATTTTTTTACATAATTCACTGTGTTTAAGCATTTAAGTGTGGCCTGTTGATACAGTGGGAGAGATGAAGCCATTCACGCGCCCGGCTGCCGTACCTCTGTATCCGCAGTGCAGAGAGCAGTGCAGAGGGTCCCAGCGCCAGCATGTCACTTACACACACGTGCGCCTGCACACACGGGTGCTCAGCCACAGCCTCTTACCTGTCGCTGCATTTCTTGGATTTGTCTTTGGGGGATGCTCTGCAGAATCTTGTACACGTCGGCCATCTTTTCTTCTGGCACAACCACAGACGCTCTGGAGACAACGGCAAAGCTAGTGACACACGGCCAGGCCCGCGCAGGAGGCACCTCCACGGGGCCGTCCTCCCACGCAGAAACACAGCACTCACACTCCCTGCAGCCTGGGGCGCTCCCTGTCTCACCAGCTCCATTCTCTCCTCTCCTTCACACCGCCACTTAGCTGTCATTCTGCCTCTGTGCCACGGGCGTGACCCAGCTCCACAAGGAGAGTTATCAGTCATCTGAATGACTGAGCCTCCACCCTCCCACAGGGCCTTGGCGTGTGAAATTCTACCTACACATTGTCCATGACCCTCTCTAAGTCAGTGACTTCTCTTCTCCAGCTATCCACTCAAACCCTTTTCATTTCCTGAGGTCCTATTATGTGCTAGGCCAGGGCTACACACACACAAATCAGAAAGGAAGGTAAGGGGGTAAGCAGGCCAAGAATGCCTTGGGAAGAGTGTTCCAGACAGAGGGACTAATGACGTGTGAGGCATGTTCCAGGAAGAGCAAAGAGGCTATCATGGCTAGGACAGAGTAAATAAGAAAATAACAGGAGATAAGGAGAAATGGGGCAGGGCACAGCAAAGCGCACAGGACAGTGGAGGCCATGGCAAGTCTTCTGCTTTCCTCTGGAATGGAAAGCACTAGAAGGTTTTGGGCAAAGGCGTGGCAAGATCTGACTGTGTTCCAACAGGAAAACCAGGCGGGAGAAGAGAGCAGCGAGAGACCCTGACAAGGGAGGAACTAAAGGGAGAGATGAGGGAACTGCCCCCAGGATTTCTCAGATCAGATCCAGGGGCAACACCAGGAGAGGGCTCAACAATGACTTCTCATCGTGACGTTCAGCACAGTCTTATTTGTATACGTTCATTTCTTAAAATCTGAACCTTACTTCTGCCAACTAGGCTGGTACCTCGGCATGGAAACGGTGCCTGGCTCCACTCACCAGCGTATCCCGAGCATCAGGGTTAGCAAACATTTGCTAAAGGAGTGAATGGGTCCTGCTACACCCATGGGAAAACGAGGCCTAAAATAGGTTCCATGATTTGACATAATCGCAGAGCTGGGTGCCTATCCGAACGCAGGCCTTCTGACCTCAAGCCCAGGGCCCTTCCATCACTTACCCATAATTGCAACTACGCAGGCCACTCTAGACTCTCTCAGAAATAGCCTTTCACACTCAGCTCAAGGCCCTGTCTCTGTGCAGCCCTCACCAGCCCCACTGCCAACAGTGCAACGTGGCTCCCGCTCACTCTTCTAGCATCCTGTCTGGTCAGGGCTGCGTCTCATCGCAGTGTCTGGCAATTGCTGGTTTGCTTGTCTACCTTCACCACTAAGCCATGAGCCTCCTGGAACGAAGCTCCGTCTTGGTCATCTCTGCACCTCTATGCCTAGCAAACCACAAGGGGCTCAACAAATGCCTTCCTCGGTGGGTACATGCTCACAGTGGCTCAGGACTGCTCTGAGAGAGAGAGAGAGAGAAACTGCATCTGGCCTCCACCTCCAAGCTGAGTGAGGCTCTCTCACCTCTCCTGGCTTCCATGGTTCCCACTGCACATGCCTGCTATGGGGTCTGCCACAGAACATTATGGTTGGTTTGTCTTCCCCCACCAGATTCTAGCCTCTCAGAAGCAGGCTCTGAGATGAGGCTTTCCAATAAATACAAGGTGAATGAATGAGGGATTCGTGCTATTTAAATTGCTCACAAACCTGGAATGATCAGATTTGGACAGAAACATCAAAAATTTTGAGAGGGTGGGAAAGCAATTAAGTACTGGGTCAAGAACAAAACCGAGGAGTTCATTTTTGGTCATCCTCGATGTCCAAAAGTATCAGGGAAATGGAGGTACATAAGGATGCACTGTCTATCACAGCATTAATAGCCATCAGCAGGCAGAATTAGAATTACTACTGCCCATCTGAACGCTGGGAATGTGTCTAAGCTTCGATGCACCTGGACAGACGCTCTCCACTCCCCACAGGTACATTACGCAAACCCGACCGAGACTCCAGAACATTCCAGAACAGCAACCTCAACGGTGGCTACAATCAGCGGCCCGGGAGCTCACAAGTCCAAATTCCCAAGTACAAGGCCAGGCTTTTTTCCAGAGCATTCCGGGCGAGTCTCCTCTGTGGTCGCAGTTGAAACCATTGCAGTTGAGCATCAAGACAATGGTCAGGGATTAGTACCCATCTTCTCCAAGGGGCCAGGCAGTAAGTGTTTTAGGTCTTATAGGCTGTCGAGTCTCTGTTGTCATTGTCCAACTCTGCCAATGCAGCATAACAGCCAGACAATGCACAAATGAAGCAGTGTGGCTGTGTTTCAATAAAACTTTATTTGCAAAATAGCTAGCCTACACATTTGGCCCCCAGGTCTCAGTTTGTGAACTAACTCTCCTGGGAGGAAAAGACAGCCAAACAGTCTAAAGTAGTACAGGCAAAGGATCTCTTAACCAAAATGCTTGGGACCACGAGTACTTCAAATTTCAGGTTTTTTTTTTCCCCCAGATTTTGGATTATTTGCATTTACAATGAGGTATTTTGGAGCTGGGGCACAAGTCCAAACACAAAGCTCATTTATGTTATACATGTAATTACCTGAAGATAAGGTTACACAGTATTTTTAGTGCACCTGCATTGTGACTGCGACCCCTCACATGAGGTCAGCTGTCGAATTTTCCACTTGTGGCGCCAGGTCAGAGCTCAGAGTTCCAGGCTTTGGAGCATTTCTGATGCTGCATTTTTAGACCAGGAATGCACAAATTGTAGCTCTCAGCCCTAGGTCTAGGCTGCAATTACCTAAGGGACTTTTTATTTCTAAGACGTGCAGAACCACTGAGGTCTCCTAGAAGGTAACACCCACCTCTTCCAGTCCAGAACTTCGGAGAAAGGCAGGATGTAGGAGTCTGCGATGACCACTGGGACACAGCCAGCCTGTAACACATCGCTCAGCGCTGCCTGGCCCAGCCGAGCCCCACGAAGGACCACGCAGAAAGTGGCTTCCTGAGGGAATATGAAGAGAGGTGAGGGATCACACACCAGCTTTGTTGATCAACTTATTTTGATCCCTACAGACCACAGAGATGAAGCCAAGTGATAGTAAGACATCTTAGCACAAAAATGACAAAAAAGGGGGTGTATGTTTGGCCTAGCAGTTAAGACATCTGTCTACCACATTGGAGACACGTGCATCCCATGCTGGAGCACCTGAGTTCGATTCACAGCTACAGCTCCTGATGCTAGCTTCCTGCGAATGAGACCCCGGGAGGGAGCAGTGATGGCTCAGGTAGATGGGTGCCTGCAACCTATGTGGAAGACCTGGCCCGAGTTCCCAGCATCTGGCTCCAGCCCCAGTGGCTACTGAAGGCACTTAGAGAATGAACTAGCAAATTGGATCTTTCTCTCTCTACCTCTCAAAAAAAAAAAAAAAAAAAAAAAAGCCAAAAGAAAACAGCTCAAACATGTCAAACATGTAGAACCTGAAATGTTTCACTGGTAATAACATTCCACATTTCACTTTTCAGTGTTATATCCACACCACATACTGGCATTGTGAGAAAGTTCAAAGCCAATGCCCAGTCTTCCTCTGGACATTCAACAATACAACCCTCACACAAGCTGTTCTCCCTTAGCCACAGGCACTGTGTTTACAACCACAGCATGTGAGAGCCTCAAGTGCAGTACATACCTCTGCTCCGTTGAAATGAAGCTATTTTGTCAGGGGAAAATTCTTCCTGCTAAGGGCCATTTGGATATTTACAACCTCATTTGTGGGCTGTACAAAATGATCAACTTAAAAATTAGCCTGCAATAGATTTACTGAATTTAGAGTCCTGTTTGTGGTTGCCTTGGCAAGGCCAGCCCCAGACCCAGTGATTCTGCGGGTCTTACGGGGCCTTCTGGGGGCCCTGGGCCACTGTTCCCCACCCCTACTGTAACGGGAGAGTGCCAAGCTTTGTTTCATCTTTCCATTCCCCATAGCATCTAGTGATATGATCTGCATACAGGAGACACTCATTTCATGAATGTAACGCCCTTGCAAAGACATTAAGACAGGTATGTCCTACTCAGAAAGAATCAAGCTAAAGAAAAGACCACCTTGAACAATTTCTTCATCATTCATTCTTCAACTGTCCCTCGCTCCCTACCCCCAACACACCATGGGGACCACCTAGGAAGAGGAGAGATGCATCCAAGTACAAAAACTTGTCACAGGCAAACCAAACTGAGGAAAGACCCTAACTGTACACCACTCCATTTCTGTTTATTGCCTCTGCAGGAGGGCAAAAAAACTTTTTTAAAAACCACACATAACCTCATTTCTAGACAGAGAAAAGGAAAGCTCAGGAAACACTACCCAGGGGCTCAATACCCCAAACCTGTCTGGGTACACGTGCGAGAAGCAGTGGCAATGGAGGAGCAGGTGCAGCACTGGGCCTGCCCTGGGAGGGGCAGCCACACATGGGCACGTGTGCGGATGACCATTTTTCCTGTCTAGACAAAGGGTACTATAAATACTGCTGCTCCCATCACCACTGTTATCAGTCAGACATTCCAGAGGAAGATACAGCACTGAGAGAAAATATGTTAACGATCTGAGTATGGGCCAGCTCTCTGGAGACCAAAAAAAAAAAAAAAAAAAAAACCACACCAGCTCCAGCTCCTTGGTATTTTTCCTTAAATTTGCCTGTGCTTCAATGACTCGGAACAAAGCTCAGGGTCTTCTTTTCTGGTCCCTTGACCTTGGAACAGCAAATGTCCCATGTATGAAACACCCCACGGGGCTGCTTTGCCCACGGTCATGACTAAAGGGCCTGCTCCTGGCAGGATGTGCCGAGGGTGGCACTGACACCAAAAAACCACACGACGCACTGGCCCCAAAGGCCCCTCCACTCCTAGGGAAACATGACGGGGGCCTTGCGGCTGGCAAGGTGGGGCCTGCCAGTTACCACCTTGAAGAAGGAGATTTCTCTGCATCCACTGATAGACCTTGAACAATCTGCTGTTGTTCTTTTGGTTTGCACTAGGATGCCAAAGAAAAATCCCTGCACTTTCTGTCTATCTTTGTGGCAGTCCAGATTGAATTGGGGAATACATTTGTAAAGAAAAAAAAAAAAGAAGAAGAATTCTCTGGACTGGCTGATGAACTCAAGGACAAAAGCAAAACACATTTGCCGGCTTTGTCTACACGGCTTCGTTGCAAATGTACTGGACTTGAGTGTGTGAAGCACAATGACTGAAAGGAGTACGGATCCTCAGAGACCGGGCCCCACACCCAAGGACCCGACCGTCTGCACATCCAGAAGAAAACAGAGCTGCTACCTGTTCTTCCGCCCAGATAACTCCCCTTTGCTGGGGTCAATCACTGCACGGAAGTGGCCTCCACCACGTCTTTAAAGAGGCCGGGAACGACCCTCACCTGCAGCACCTGGGGGTAGTGGAAGACCTGGTGTTTGTGGCAGCGCTTCCGGACAGAGAGGGCGCCCTCCGAGAGGTTGGTGCACTGGTGCAGCACCAACACTGACTCCCCGTGCTTGGCCTGCAGGGCCTCCAGCTCCTCTCTGAACTCAGGGTGCACGGCCATCTGAGACGACAGGAGGAAGTACCGCCGCGGGCTACAAACGAGAAAACAGGCAGCTGGAAAATCGCAGTTTGTGTGTGAGTCAAAGGAAGACAAACTTTGATATTAGACCTACAGTAATAAGCGCTTTCCCACCAGTGGACACCATTGACTTTTTGGGGACTGGGGGAGGGATTAGACTGTGTAGCATTACTGAATATTTATTGTGTGCTGTAAAGAAAAGAGTAAAGTATAATTCATTTACATGCTGAAATACTGTGCAACCATAAAAATTTTATTTGGGAAGTTTACTGTTGTGATAATTAATATTTATAATATGCCAAGTTTAGAAAGAACATGTGTGTGTGTGTGTGTGTGTGTAGAAAGAAAGTGACTGAATATTTGGAAGGAACATAAAAATATTATTTTAATTATTTTATTTATTTGAGAGGCAGACAGAGAGAGAGAGACAGGTAGGGATCCCATCCACTGGCTTACTCTCAAATGCCCACAAAGGCTGGGGAGCTGGGCTGTGGTGGAAGCCAGGAGCTGGGAATGCAATCCAGGTCTCCCATGTGGGTAGCAAGAACCCAGTGACTGGAGCGCTCATCTCTGCCTCCCAAGGCCTGCATCGTCAGGAGCCACAGTCAGATTCTGAATCCCGCACTCCAATGTGGAATGCGGACATCCTAACTGGCATCTTAATCATGAAATATCTGCCTCCAAAATGCTACCTCCAGTTACATCAGAGCCCGACCTGAGCAGGAAGAGTGGGCTGCATTCTTCATAAGGTATGAGGAAGCCTGAAAGGCAAGGGGTGAAGTGGTACCTCCACAGCCCTGGAGAAGCTGCAGAAACACGTCCCCATCATCCACGCCCCGTGCATGCGAGGAAGACTTTCTGGGAGTCGAAAACAAGAAACAGAAAAAAAACAAAAACAAACAAAAAAAAAACACTATCTTTACCAAGGCATGGAGCCAGCCTTAACATCTGGATGGCAAGGATACTTAAAGAAAACGGGGTGAAGAAAGGATGTTGAGGGGCGAAGTGCCATGCAGATATCCACGAGAGACAAAAATGTGAACACGAGCCTAGCCAGCCTGAAGGAGCCTGGGGAGACCAGATGGCAAGGAACTCCCTCCTGGAAGGCAAAGCAGAGAGAGAGGGCGCGGAGCACAAAGGCTCAGCAGGGGAAGGCGGCCAGGGATCACCATCAAAGAACAGAACAGTACAAAGCAGGTTCCTGGAAGAAACCAGACTCTCAGACCAAGGCGCAGAACTCAATTACATCCAGCTCAGGCTGCTGCAGGCCAGGGAAATGCTAGTGCCATGCATCTCACAGGCAAGGCCACAGGCGTACTTATGTGAGGCTCTGAGGCTGTACATACGAATGAGCCCAAAAGCTATGGTCTGTGAGCCTCTCTCCCTCCCTCCTTCTGCTCTGGGGAGAAAGGCAAGGCAGTGGTGACTTCGTTTCTTAGACTTCAGGGAAAGTTCTGGCTGGGGAGTACCTTACCCAAACCCCCGTGGCCACAGGCTAACTATTCTCTAACTGTGCGGGTCATCTCCTGAGCCCAGTGCTTTGCATGTAAGGCACAGAAAGCAATGGCTGTGGAGGCTGCACTCCCACCTCGCTGGGCAGATTGGCTCCACAAACTCCAGGGAACACAGCAGTGCACAGCACAGCCAGGCTGCTTTGAAAGCCTCGGGACCACATCTTTGGGTGACGTCTTTATCCAGCAGAACTAAGTGTCAAGGGATATCTCCCACACTGCGGTTAAGTCAGAAAGAACAGAGCAGATTTCCAGGAAAGTCACTGTCCAACAGCAATTGGCCATTGGAGCCCATCTGAACTTCAACAAAGTCACACTGGCCCCCTATCCAGGCTCAGCAGTCACGCGTGCTCGTGGCTCCCCGACTATGCATCTCTAGACTGTGTCCTCACCGTGAAAGGGTCTACTTGCTGCCCTGGGTGGAGGTTGAGACCCAGAGGCCAAGGCAGAGGGGAAGTAGAGACAGAAAGACATGGAATGGTGACCATCAGCTCTATGGAGGGTTCCTTTTTCCCAGTCACTTTCCTCCTAAATGACAATCTGGTGAGCAATGAGTCAAATGGCTAGGGCCCAGAGTATTCCTTCCACACTCTGAAACCCACCTGGGATCCTAACCTCGCCCTGGGGCTCAGGAGTCTCTCTTTTGTAAAAGCATTCATTTGCAGAGGGATGCCTTCGTCATGGCCAGGTTGCAATCTCAAAGCAAGTGCCATCTCCATGGGAATTATTTCTGTACTTGAACTTGTCTGTCAAACAGGACAAAGATCTGGAGTCTGAGCCACCAACAAGCAGGGACACCAGCTGAAAGGATGAAAGCTATGTGAAAATGAGAGGGACGGGCCAGCACTGTGGCATAGCGGGTTAAGCCACCACCTGCAGTGCCGGCATCCCATATGGACATTGGTTCGAGACTCTGCTGCTCCTCTTCCGATCCAGCTCTCTGTTGTGGCCTGGGAAAGCAGAAGATGGCCCATGGCCCTTGCACCCCTGTGGGAGACCCGGAGGAAGCTCCTGGCTCCTGGCTTTGGATCAGCACAAGCTCTGGCCGTTGTGGATGATTGGGGAGTGAACCAGGGGATGGAAGACCTTTCTCTCTCTCTGTAACTCTGACTTTCAAATAAATAAATAAATCTTAAAAAAAAAAAAAAGAAGAAAAAGAAAAATGAGAGGGACTCAGTGAGTCTGTCACTACAAAAAGAAAACTTTTCACTCACAAGTTACAGTGGAAAGTCATGCATCAAGTTTGAGCTCAGGGGTCTCTAAAGGTTCTTCCAATCTGTAAACCCTGGTTTTCTGACAGATGTAATGGAGCACTGGTACTTGCTGGATGTTTCTAGAAATTTCTATCTAAGTAAGTAGGGTGAAAGCACCAAGTGAGTGCTCTATGCTGTCCAGAACAAGAGTAGACATGTGGGCATCCAAGAAGGTCAGAGAGAGTGGCCACTCAGAAGGGTGGACAGTGGTGCGGTCCGGAGGGAAGAGGGCAATTCAGCGTGCTGGGGGTGGGAGGAGGGACGGCACACAAGGACTACCGAAATGCCAGTGCAGAGAGACCTTCTGCTTGTGGCAGGAGCAGGGAGGTGGCCTGGCCAGGGTCTCAAAGCCCTAGAAGGCTCCTGTGCTGGAGCAGGGGTGCAGGGCCTCTCAGCCCCCCAGCATGGGACGCTGGAGGCCAGTGAAGCTAGGGGAAGATCGAGGCAACCCAGAACCCAGTATGAGAGCCTGGGCAGGCTGAGAAGGCTGTCCATGTTGAGGGGAGGACGATGACAATGGCAGCATCACCCCAGGGTTGGAACTCCAGAAGCATGAGGAGATACCCGTGCTGGGGTGGGGGCCCAGAGTCCAGCGGGCATGAGGAGGGCACGGAGCAGGGCAGGAGCAGTGGCGGCAATAGGAGTTCAATTATATTCAAGAGGGCTGACCAACCACATAAAGATACTGAGAATGACAGGAGCCAGATGTCTCCCGGTCAGAGAAGGGAGCTACAAATATGGAAAGAGAAAAACCCAGAATGCCCCTGCAGGGGTGGATGGATGGTACTGGAGAAATCGATATGAACGCATGGTTTTCAACATGCATAGACACAGGGAGATGTCTATCTATGCAGACACAGAAATAAATACAGACCTTAATGTGTGGTCAAAGAAATGGCAAAGAAACTCTTGCATAAAGAAAGGCCCTGGGTTAGATTTCACTGTTAAGAATCAAAGTTCGGTCTCAGACACTCAGTTACCAGGATAGAGCTGGGTTTCCATCTCCTACACCAACGTGCAGAGGCATACAAGAGTCTGGAGGGCTCCCCTACCCGCGGGCTGGCTCCCCCTGGCCCCACAGATGGCTAAGGGAGTACGCCCGTTTCATTTTAAGCAAACAAAACTGTTGTATGGTGGATTTGTTCTTTTACACACTAAAAATTCCCAGCTCTGACTTCCATGCCTCCTCCCAGCAGCGCTGATATCTCTAAGTAAAATCACGCTGAGAACCCCGTCTCCCTCTACAGAATGGTTGTAAACTCCCAGTTTAGCTCCTTTAGAAGGAAAATGACAGGAATTCCAGCTGAGGCCAGCACAGCTGTGAGAAGCAGCTATCAATAGCCACAATCCTCAGCTTCCCGTTGAAAAAGCGCTGAGGGAGATTTCAAATCAAAATCAAAACAAGGCTCTCGCTACTCTGGGTAGCCCTCAAGAGATGTGGGAACTCCCTTAAAAGGCAACACTCACCAAGAGAAGCAAGCCTAAAACGCTGCCGTGAGGCGGCCCTCCAGGCTTTCTCCTGAGTGCCTGGAAGGGATAGGGTTCAAAGCTGGTCTTTTCCTATTTGGGGCATTGGTTGGGAGAGGTTTAGGGATGGGGAGGTTTCAGGGAGTGAGTGGTCTTATAAAAGCCCAACAATGCACGGCCCAGCTGAAGCTGGCTGGGAAAAGGAGTGGCCATGCACCACTCGCCAGCAGAGGGAGGCCTGTGCCCATGCACACTTCCCTTTGCTCGCGCCTACCTGAAGGCTGGATGCTCTTACCTGCTTACTGGACCACACGACCTTAGAGACTAAGGGAAACCTTAAGTGATGGTGCTAAGGATCTTCCCTTTGTTCCGCCGTGCATCAAATCTAGAGATTAAACTAGGAGCAAAGTGCGCCAACCAGTTTAAATCTCTGTTCCCGATGGTTTGTTCTCTTTGGCTTTGTTTTCACTAGATCTTTCCAGAGTTTTCTTCCTTGGGCTAAATCTGAAGGGAACTGAGAGCCCTAAACAACATGAGAGGGCTGGCTTGGAGCAGAGGTTGGAGAGCACAGCTGAGTTCAGGCTGTCTCCAGTCCCTGCAGACAGACAGCGAGTGGTCCACAGGCAGCCGAGAGGGCTGACAGGCCCACGCTCACTGCCACTCTCTACCTTGTCCAGGGTTTCTCAACCACACCACCGCTGATATTTGGATCTCAAATTCTTCGTTGTGGGGGCTACCCTCCTGGAAGTGAGTTAACAGAGCAGGCTTGACTGCATCCTTTA